GTGGAATCCGCGACATCATATGATGACGTTCGGCCAGCTGCCCTAACTTTTAACGACATCATATGATGACGTTCGTCCGATAAAGGTTAAGCTGTCACCATTCATCTTGGTTAAAATAGTGAGTGTGATGGCAGCAGTGCCTTCTTGTCATCCGTTATTTGTTCCTTGAACCCCAGTTGGATTCCTCTCATGCATTCCTTCTCATCATGTCTCCACAGTGCCAGCAGACAGGCTGTCCAGTTGCTGCTGACTGTGATGTTGTGGGCATTCTACCCCTTACCTAGCTGGTGGCCTGACTGCCATCTTCATAGCATCTAGCTTCAAGATCTGGTTAAGGGCTTCATTATGGGACCTCCCATCACCCATGATGAGGGGCTGTTTCATACTCCAGCCCTTTACTCCATTCATAAATGCAAAGGGTGCCTTGGGCAACATGACAAGGGACCAGTGGGCCAACTGCCTGATGGCATCTGCAAATTTTGTAGCAACTAGCCACTTACATGGGTCCTGATTTTGAGTCTGACTGGTAGGCTACCACCAGCTGGTGGTATTTCAGTTTGTCACATATGGTCTTGACATAAGTTCAATTTAGATCACTACTGTATCACTGAACTGCAGCACTGCACTGTTTTCTTGCACTCACTGTGTCACTGCTGGCTCAGAACTCACTACTTGCTTTTCTCACACTGTTCTACCATGTGCAAATGCTCCATTCCACTTCTAAATGCAGACTAAGCTCACTAATTCCACACACTTTTATTCTGGCATAATATATTCCAAAAGCTTTGCAAATGTTCTCAAACTCCACCTTTTCAGCCTCCAAAGCTACTCAGAAGGGGTGAAGGCCATAGCATTACTCCAAACAGCTGTCCATTCAACACTACTACCTCCCCTTGCTCATGCAACAACATTATAAATGAATCATGGTAAACACATGTGTTGAAAACTTGGAAATTGGGTTTTCACTCTGAATTAAGAAATGATGCCTAGACACAAGGAAACTGTTACCTCTACCTTTGTCTTTACCTGTCCTACCTCAGCTGATCCTCCTCTACCCTTTACCAACAGTGAAAAGGCCTCTATTTAATTTAATCTATTGGATATTTGGTAGGGCTCCCTTGATGGAGGTCATTCCACCATAGGACAGCACAGAAAATATTCAGTAGAATTCAAACTCACAATCTCATTGTCTGTGTAGTCCAAGACAGTGTGCACCCTAGACTGCATCATTTGCACAGTCAGTGTTTTCACTCACTAGCTGTTAAGTTTTAGATATACTATGGTCATTCTCTGTTGTCAGCCATAATATATATACAGTGTCCATCTTGCAGTGCATCCACTTTTACCTGTCACTTCACAACATGTTTCGGCACCATAGTGCCATCATCAGGTGCTCCATTTACACTAATGTTGGATCCAACATTACAACACCCACAGCCAAAAAGGGAACACGCATCACGAGACACGATACAAACAGCATATAAGAGGAATGACTCCCATAGTGGAGGAACCATGCGCAGGTTTTGAATTGGGACAGATAAGATGAATATCTTAACAAGATTTTAGCATACAAAAAAAATTATTATAACTGACGAATATTTTAAAATACTTTTTAAATAATTTTACATTTACATAATGGCATGCAACGCAATAGATTAGTGTAAATGGAGCACCTGATGATGGCACTATGGTGCCGAAACATATTGTGAAGTGACAAGTAAAAGTGGATGCACTGCAAGACGGACACTGTATATATATATCATGGACGAAAATCAGTGCAACAGGACGCTAAAATACAACACTCTGTTGTCAGTATAGCCAGATGGACACATTCTTCACTTTTATACTATACTTGTCTGAATACAAGACAGTCCCCAACTTCAAAGTTTAAGTTAAGGGGGGAGACCCCCCTGCCAAGTTTTAGTGCTGAATCAGATTTCCTCCAAAACACTAATATAGTTCTGAAATGACATATATATTTCATCAACTATCTACACCCGCTTGCACTATAAACAACTATACCATCACTAAATAGTATGTACTATTCATGTATAAAAACACTTCCCTTAGTGCAGTACTTTGGTTTATAAGTTGCCCCCCCCCCTTTTTAGATACTAAATGAGGGAGAAATAATTCCTTTATATTTAAGTAAATATGGTATCTTAATTCATAATAATGTCACCCATCCTGGTAACGTGACAAGAAATTAATGGGTCCCGCATTAGACAAAGCTGTTTATTGGATAAGCTGTTTACAATTACAAACACAATCACTCTGAAATAACGTCTTCCTCATGATGCCACCTGGATAGTCCGTCGTCTTTTGGTTCTTAGCTTAGCTGGTTTCTTCTGCTCTCAGCTCTGCTCCATTCACCTCTGATCTGATGTGTTCCATCCTCTTCTCAATTCTCCTCTTGTTTGACTTGTTCTCAGTTCTCCTCTGGTCTGACTTGTTCTCCAAGTCCAAGTCACATTGTGACTGACGGTCGGTCAGTCAGTCAGTCTTGGTGTCAGATTTGAGACTTCCCTTTTCGTCATCTCCTACGACTCGCAGAGTCACAGTGGAGGTATCTGACTTGTTCTCAATTCTCCTCTGGTCTCAGTCGGATGGACTAGAAGACACCTTCTTGAAGTGTTCTGTTTCATGTGTTAGCTAGTGTATTTGTTGCCATGAGAACTTCAGTAGTTCTGGTTTTTCACTATCGTGGTAATGTCTGTTATAAATGCAATATCTCAGAAACGTGTTTTAACAAGCCGTTGTCTAGCAATGGACGCATGCTCTGACTCAAGATATTCCGGCTTAGAGGCAGCATGCCACAATAATGGGTAAGAGCAGACACAGGATATATATCAAATGTATATTCTTGACACTTAAATTAATAGTTCCAATTACAATTTACGGTCTACTTCCATGCATCTGGCTCAGGATAGGGACCAATGGAGGGCTCTTGTGAACATGGTAATGAACCTTCGGGTTCCATAAAATGCTGGGAAATTCTTGAATAGCTGCAGAATTGGCAGCTCCTCAAGAAGGGCTCAGCTCCATGAGTGAATAATTAAGTAAGTAAATTAGCAATTCCTTCTGAATGAATACTATTAAAGAAAACAAGAGAGAATGCGCACACACATATATTCTTACCTGTAAGCTTCATAGCGCATGACTATTCCCTCAAGCTCCTGTTTGTATAAACGTGTCAGCATAGCACTAAAACAATCTAATTCTGGTAATCTGAACATTTCCCAACGAAGTTTGTGGTCTAAGTCTTGAGAAGCTCTTGAATATACAGTTAGCCAGTGTGGAATCACTGTGAAGAAAAAATTAAAAATATGATACGATGTATTTTGTGCAAAACATAATAGAAGCTCCCACTTACTGTTATAACATGAAGAGAGAGGTGTGAACTAATAAGCTAACTTTTTACAACTACAGTCAACTCTCGATTATCTGGGATAATGGTGGGGATGGAAATCACGATTAATCGAAAACCCGGTTAAGACAAATTTTATTAAAAGTAGTACTGTAATACTGCACCTTCATAACACTATAGGCCTACCTGTATTTAAATTTATTCAACCTCATTTTTATGTCATCTCATGGCCTATTTAATACTTTTTTTACATTACACTGAAATATGAATTAGTTATTTCAATCGCAGTCTTCAACAACATCCAACATTTTTTACGAATATTCACACTTAACGCTTAAAAAAAATTTAATATTGTCGTTTACTTTCTCGCGGAATTTTCCTTTTTCTGTTGAATACTTAACACAACACGCTTCCTTTTACACCCTGATATTTTGCTAACGCACTTGAAGATCGATACAAAGATACTGACTGGGGTGATGCATCTGTCCTTGAAACTTTCCACAAATCCTTTGCATTCTTTCACCCCTTCCCTAAAACACTGTGTTAGCATAATGGGACCAAAGAATGCAGAGCTCAGTTCACACTAGTGCGAAAATAGTCTTACAACTCGCCATGTGAAACAAAAGTGAATGAATATTAAACAACATATAAGCCTCAAAAAAGCCTCAGTAGCCCCGGTTAAGCCGCAAACCGGTTAATCCGCCCCGGGATAATCGAGAGTTGACTGTAATTACAAAAAGAGGTGTCATCTGTATGAATTCACAAACTGGTAGAAATTTAATTTCTCATTAGTGCCTAACAAGAATCAATTATATTAATCTTCAATTTTGAAAGTACACATTATTTTAGTTTATGTTACATAGAGTTCCTAATTTGTCACAAAAACAGAATTACTAATATCAAACCAAGTAAAATAAAATACATTCAACATGAAATATACACTCTTTCCTTCTTTACCCCTACTTCCCTTTTGAAACTGCAACATTTCACGCACACAAAAATAAATGTTGAAAAGTTATATTTACATGTCAAGAAATGTACTGCATGCATATATGTGCTATGACAATAAAGTTCGCGAATTCGCCAGTGTGTGTTCGCTGTGGCCAGAAACCTCAGTATGGTTTGATGACGTTGGCACATCGGTGTTTCACAGCTGTGTTGTTGTTGTTGTTGTTGTTGTTGTTGTTGTGGTTGTTGATCTATGGCACTCTTTCTGAGTGGTGTCTATTATTGTCTGAGTGTGTTTTGGTGTGCTGTCACAAAAATATCGGAGCTTGAATTCGAGCACTATCTGTGAGGGAGTTTTTAGCTAGTAAACAAATAACTGTACTGGAACACTCTCCCTATTCACTGGATGTAGCTCCAAATGTATTTTTTCTGTTCCCAAAGACAAAGGAAATATTGAAAGGAAGGCATTTTGATGACATTGATGACACCAGAAATAATAAAACAGCATCTCTGAAGGCTATTCTACAAATTCAGTCCCAAAATTGTTTTGAAGGGTGGACAAGGCACTGTCACTGGTGCATAGATTCCCAAAGGGAGTACCATGAAGGCAACCACAGTGATATTCAGCAATGAAGTATGTAGCACATTTACTGCAATGAGTTCATGAACTATACTGTCAGACCACATACATATACCCAAAATTGAGTGGAATGTAATATGACTTCTGCTTCATCACACCAGCACTACAATAATGCCTTTGGCATCCGTAATTAAACAGGATGATAAGGATTGATCTAGCACACAACTTGACACTGAAAGAGCCTCTTTTCATTTATTTTTAATTGGTACTGTGAAAGTTACTGAACAGCATTCAAAAACTGAGCAGACATACTATAAAAACCACCTTCCTGCAATCAATGTATGTTATTCCAAAAGCCATGTATGAAACCCCTCTGAGGAACAGGAAATATTCTAGAAAGTTCACTATAAATTGTCCATAATGGTACATAATATGGTTTTTTCTTTTTTATTTTTAGCCTACTTTCCTCCCCAAAAGGAGAAGTAACCTTATAAGATCAGGACTGGGTCGGGATGGTGTCTGTGTCCGTGTGCATGTGTGAGTGTGAAAGAGAGAGAGAACCAGATGACAAATTTTCATAAACTTGGTATGGTACATTTTAATTTCCTGCAATCATTAATAAAAAGATGGAGCTATATATGAGTTGTAAGCAACATTACAACCACTTAACTAGTGAGCCCTAAAATGACATATTGCAAAAAATCTTTGAAGAATGTGCAACATTTGTTAAGGTAACTTTTTGTAAAATGTGATACAAGAACATGGTGGCCAGGCAAAAGTATTCTTTAGCATTTGGTTTGTTGAAAATAACTGATAAACAACTGGAGCTAGGCACAAAATTTAGTATAAAGATAAACCAAAAAACATACATACACATTACATATAAAATGCCGTTTATACGTTAACAAACATGACAGGGGAGTGAAACTTTAAGGTTATATTTGATGAATTCCATGTAGACAGAATCCGTACTTGAACTGAGTTCACTGCAGAAATAAATAAAACAGTAATAGTAGTAACAGAGTCATAGTGCTGGAAATATATACAAAAGGAAAGTAAGCCGCTGAATTCTGCTCAGAACTCTTTATCTGTAGTCTGTTCTAACTGAAGAGGAGATACAGCAGCGCCCTATCCTTTTTTGGATGAAAATCATTTCTTAATCACCACATCTACTTATAGGAAAAATGGGCGGGGTCAAATGGATATTTGGTCTGAAAGCAGAACTGTATATGAGAAAAGTTCTTGAATTAAGAAACATACTTCTTAAAAGAAGATCTGAATATTTTGATTTTTAAAGGAATGGGTTCATGGACTGACAAAGAATGCAAATCAGTGCATTGGAGAAATAGTTTCTGCAATGTGTAATGCATATGTCATGTGAGTGTTTGTCTTTCTTCTCTTAACTGTGTCAGATAAATAAAGATTAAAGTAATACTGGCAAAAGCAAACTGTGCAAGACATCAAAGACATCACACATACTTTCTCATATACAAATGACTTTAATTATGTGATTCTGATATACTAACATGGAAACAAAACTGATTGTTGCTCAGTAGGCCATTGTTTATTACTGAATACTGAAAACCATCTGACCAATAAAGCACGTTTCAACAAAATCAACATTTCATGTCTGGCCCTTAATGTGCGTACCAATATTTCCTGAAGATACCGCCTATGTAGATTTATTCATGGCGATGGTTTATAAATTACTGAAATTCAATCAAGATCATTAGGGCTGCTTTTGTGAAAATTACCATTTTATTCTGGGGGGCTCTTCTTAAGGACCCTTGTTCTTGGAGCTTGAATGGTCATATTCATTAGGCAATGACCTATGGTAGGTAAACCCTTAAATATCAAAAAATGAATAAAATTCATCCAACCATTCAGAAGCTAGCAAGGTGCACATCCATATACACATACAAAGTGTGTCCAGGTTCTGTTGGGACTGTGTTCATTATAAATACAAGATGTGAATTATTTACAAAATGTCAGCCTTTTTATTCAAAATAGTCTCCTTCTGAATCAGTACGCAGCTGGAATCATTTGAAAACTTTTAAAAAACAGTCACTGTACTCCTTTTGTGGAACTACATCTAAAACTGCGGTACATTCCATTTGGATGTCCTGGATGGTGTCGTGACTGTCTCCTTTCATCGCCAACTTAACTATTGGGACCAGAAATCTGTTGGAGCCAAATTGGGTGAACACAGAGGATGATCAAGGACTGTGATCCCTCTTCTGGCCAAGAAATCGCTCATGATCTTTGATTTGTGGGGTGGGGCATTGTCGTGGAGGGCAACCAGGAACCTTGCTCTCGATATTCAGGTTAAATTTGAAGAATTCTCGCCCACAGATGATTGAGGACTCCGAGATAATAATCAGAATTCACTGTTTGACCTTCTGGCAGAAACTCCTTGTGAATGATTCCTTTGGAATCGAAGAAACGGTTAGCAGTGTCTTTACTCAACTCTTTTGCATGTGCACTTTCTTTTGTTTCAGCTTCTTTGGACTCAACCACGCTGCACTCTGCCACTTTGTGAGAGGCTCATATTGAAAACACCATGTCTCGTCACTAGTAACAATCGATTTTGTAAATTTTGTATCACTTTGGGCCGACCGTAACATGTCTTTGCAGTGTTCCATTCTGGCATGTTTTTCATCGCCTGACAGTGAGTGCGTTAGAAACTGTGCACAGACCTTCTGTTTGCACAGTACTTTTTCGTATTCCCAAAAGCTCATCGATGAGTCTTGCAGAAACACATTGTTTAATGCAAGGATTTTGGTCACTGTTTTCACATTTTCTTCAGTGCGACTTGTTCTCGTCTTTGATGCACATGGACTATCATGAAATACAGCATACCATAGAAAAATGTTCGAGAGACTCAAACAATCACTATCGCACACACTTTTCATCATTTCGTATACTTCTCCATCTGTTTTGCCTAATTTCAAACAAAATTTGATTTTGGCTTTCTGTTCAACAGCCATTTTCTGACGAGCGTCAGAACAGTACTGTTACATTCAAGGTCACAACACATGATGCAGTGATGCTTGTGCTTTGAAATTATAGACAGCCACAGATGAAACTTCAAGGATCTTAACGCCACAACTCGCCAAGAGATGGCATTGCAGGGCAAAATTTAAAAAAATGAGTCCTAACAGATCCTGCACACACCATGTATATACAGACATATGGCATTCAAAAAAAAAAATTGTATTCTGGGGGGCTCAAAACATCTAAATCTGTCAAAATCTCAAGATCAGCTTTTTCACAATCATAGTATTTCCTCATCAACACCAAATCCAGTACATAGCATTTACAATGATTAGAGAAAACACAAATCAATAAACATTAGGTAAAGAAGAGCTATTCATCTGAAAACACAAACCAATAAACACACATGCAAAACATTGGGAAAGAAGAGCTACTGCATCTGTATGAACTAACTACATCAAAAATTTAGAATATGTTAAAAGACTGTCCAAATGTTTTTCTTTTCCTGGTTAAATAAGAAAATAAACCCCATGTACAAAAGTCAAGATATACACTTAATTTAATATTCAAGAAAGAAACTTATTACATAACACCCAACTGCATTTCAGTGTTTCTGATTATCAAATAATGCAAAACACTTTTCTCCTTAAAAATAACATAAAGGTATTACTGTGCATCAAGTACAGTATTTAAACACACCTTCATTCAAATATGGATTTGCAGGGACCAGTACACTATGAGGATGAAAGTGGGTGTGTCTAGGGGGAGGGGCCAGTACTCGTGGCTGAACTTCCATATGAATCCGCACCTCTGGCTGGTAGATATAATGTGGAGCACAAGGGTGTTCGTACTGAGCCTGACGAGTGATATGACTGAAATACAAAAAGTAAATCATAACACAATGTGCAAGAAAATTGTTGCTACTACAGCCTATACCCCACAAAATAATATTATCTCTTACCTTATTTTCAGCATGAAATATGAGTAATTGGCATGTCTTGCTGTTTATTCTAGTCAAAATGATAAGTAGTGAGAATGACTACTTTCACAAATATCACTCTTTTACTTAATTTATTCATTCTACTAAATAACCTCTGCTTTAATGTGCTACTTGCACAAATACTTTTGAATGAATGTGTAACTGAATGACATATGATTTGTAAGGGAGAAATATCCAGACCTCACTAAATTAAGTAACATCTTATATGTTTTACTTTCATAATTAATAACTCATAATTTATTTACATCCATAAACTCTTACACAAGTACAATTGGGCAAGTCAGTTTAAGCCATTTATACACTACAAGTCAACAACTGCTAAAACGGTATAAAGTGATACACAAGACTACGAACAGTACTATCATCTTAAGATCATTGTCGCCAGCTTGAAGCTAGCAACCAAGGATGACATCCCCCAAAAATCCAATATAAAGCAACGCATACACTTACACCATCTATATACCACATCACATCAGAACCAATCCAAGACACAAAACTACCATTCATCATTGTTCTTAAAAAACTTCTGCAGATAATAAAAACAGTTTTGTAATAAATAAATTTTTAATTTATTTTTAAAAACTTTAAAATTCTCTAATATTTTTAATTCAGGGGGCAAAGCTATTATGAATTTTAATTCCCATGTTAATTACACTTACTTTGCAACCAACAGTCTTGCATGTTTGAACATACATATCCTGTTTTACTTTAGTGTTATACTTGTGAATGTCAGAATAATGAGTTGTATAGATCTTGTTCATTTTTAAAAAGCGTAAGATCTCACATAAATATATATATACATATTGTAACTTGTTTTGCCACTGAGTGCCACTGACGACGCCGTTTGGATTGTTAATTGGTTCATTTAACAACCTACAAGTCGTAGCTACAAATACTTATGACACTGTGACGGGTTTACACACTTTACAAACCCTACTCACAAATCTCTTCACACTATCACATAAGATCTTCTAAACACGCGTTCAGGTCTTCTTTCCATGTCTAGTGCTATATTTCAACTGTCTTCAGCGCCTGCTGCATTTTAACTGACTCCTTAGGCAGTGCAGTTCTCTTATAAACCCTCAGCCAGACAACGGAAAGCACCTCGCTTCCCTGTTGCCTTGTCGCCTTGTTTACAGGTGTTGCTGGGCAACGCTGTTGGGAGTTGCCTCCTTCTTGCGTAGCAACTGCGGTATCCCCCGCTAAGCGGCCTCCATAGTCTAGGGGTAACATTGCCACCTCATGACTCAAGGTACATGGGTTCAAACCCGGCGGAGGTCGTGGAATTTTTAAGGATGGAAAAATTCAGGGAACAAGTCCTCTGGGAGGGATTTTAAGCCGTGGGTCCCGTGTCATAGATTTACGGCACGTAAAAAATCCTCATGTCTCTAGGAGACCACTGAGCAAAATTAGGCAACAATTTCCCACCCAAGTAGTTTCCAATGCCTCTGGTAGAGGGGGGAAATATCAGGTACCAACGGCTGACTTCGTTGGCTGAACATGGCTGATAGCACGCACCAGTACCAGTAGGATATGGCAACAGTAAAAATTAAAGGGGGACGCACTATGGACCAATAACTGGTCTAAGTGCATGGGGAAACCCACCCCCTCTAATAATAATAATAATAATAATAATAATAATAATGGTAATAATAATCCCCCGCTACATCACCGTGGGGGAGGGGGGTGGAGTGTTGGCTGGCCTGTTACCGTAGTAGCAACAGCACTCCAATGTTGTTACGTCACTGCTGGCGGAGGGGACGTCCTCCATAGCGCAATACGTCACACTGCTCCCTTCCAAAGGTCGTTCCTCCTGAACAGCCTAACGGTACATGCCTGTTCCTTTTATTTGCAGGCTGTTCTTGCAACGTCGTCTTTTTTTGTCCTGCTATTCCTCTTGCAACGACTATTCTCCATCCGTTACATCCGCTCCCCTCTTAACACTTCGCGGACTGGCGATTTTAAATATTTAAATCACCCTGGGAACCAGCATTTTTAAACCTACTACGCTAACTTGTGCACTGTTCACTTTAAAAATTAATATAAAATCTCCTAATTAATTTCATGAACTAAAATTTTTGGAGAACACTTACCAATGCGCCTAGAAAAAAAATGATAAAAATGGATCTGTTGACCAATACTCTTTCAAATTATCCCTCCTTGTATGGCCCATTAGAAAGATTATTGCAAAAAAATTTTCTCATTTCTGCTAAAGTGACATCCACCCACTTCAACGCCTTATAACTGCTGTCATAATGTTCACGGTGTTGGAGATATCATCTGTTAGTTTCCTGACATAGCATATCAAAGAAACTATCTCCGAAAAACAGTTCCGCTACTTCAGACACTTGTGTTTGGTCCAATGGAATTTGCTTCACCCCTGGATTTCCAGTAAACTGTCCCAAAGCAGGCGTTTTGTCTACTTTTCCCCATGTGGCTATCCCTGCAATCTGCTACCCGCACTTTCGTCGGAGTTACTGTCACTTTCACTTTCACTGTCTGTGGTCACAATTTTTTGTTCGCCCATGCCACACTCACTATCAGATTGTGAGTCACTATCACTAACAGACTCACAAGGGACGTCAGATAGCTCATTGGAGAACAAGTCAGATATTTCTTGTTCTCCGAGAAAACGCTTGGACCTCAACCTCTTCCGACCTTGATCCATTTTGCACTAGTAACTTCCTGCTTGGTGCATGCAGCTGGAAGATGAACAAAGGCATTTTCTTTTGGAGTGGGAAGGGAAAACAGTTGGGTCAATAACAGTGGGCTCATGTTACTGACTACGAAGCAAACATTCAAGAGGTCTATCACGCACCAGTCATGCGTCTGTCTGGCACCAGTGCAAGGTATAGTGTGTTTCAACATAACTTGTTCTAAAATGATAATAATATGCCACCGGTCCGCCATGTTTAAAAGCGTTGGGCATAAAAATATGCCACTGCTCCGCAAAGTGTTAAGACCAGCTTGTCTCGAGCGGTTTCCTGTTAACTTGCCAGAAGATCCAGTTGTATCACTTCCACTCCTCACTTTCATCCATCGCACATTCATTCTCCCTAGGGAGGCCGGTACTTCTACATTACCGGCTCCTCCTTTGCTTGAAGTATCTTTTTCCATTTTGGAGGGGGTCAACCCCTCCACAAGGTCCAATTCTTGTCTTGTCACAGGACCACAGAAGATCCGACTATTCACCTTCTGATCTTCAGTCTCGTAGTTTTCGTGAAATTCATGTCAAAATTTGCCGTGTTCCCCACTTGTACCTTCTTCAGGTCTGGTTTCTTCAGATATCGTGGCTGTCCGCCGCCTAGGTCCTCCACTCCATTTCTGCCTTGTAGTTGCTGTCTCAGGCCTTGGTCCCTTATGCCAGTTGCATTCTGGGGCTTTCCATAGTCTCTTCCCGAATGTCCGTTTCTTGGTGATGTTCGGTGTGACCTTATTCTTGTTTTGTCCCATACGTTTGTGTCCTGCACAGCATGTAATCTTCCTCATGGCTGAGGTTACTTCTTTCCACGGTCCACAATATCTTTGGGTTGAAGATTTCCTGAAGATCTTCCTTTTGCGCCATGCCACTGTTGCACAGTGGGACACCTTCCTGCAGGTGGCAGCCAACTTCATCCAGGATCCACAAATTCCTTGGGTCAGTTCCTTTGGCTCTCCACATCACTCTGCAGCTTGCTTCTTGTCCCTATACCACTTCTTTTGTCCTTTGACCAGGTTCACTATGTTATCTTCATTGGGGACTTCTCGTTGGTGGGCCACCTCAGGTTTCTTGTCCACTGAGGTTGGCTCTTTTTCTTCTAGACGTGCCTCCATCTCTTGGCAGGCCATCGTCTCTTTTTGAGTAATCGACGTCATTTCTTCTTCAGGTTCACTGACTGGCATCACTGTAGCATCTTGTACGGGTACTTCTTGATGCTCCACTATGGACTGCATCATTTCTGAATTGGGCTCCATCTTCTCTGCATCTGCCTCCATCACTTCTTGGCAGGCTGTCGTCTCTTCCTGCCAGACACTCATATTGGCTTTCAACCTCTTGTCTCGCATGGCGGTCATCTTTGCTTTGATCGCTTCCCTTTCTGTGGCCATATTTTCTCGCCAGGCTTTTCTATCGGCATCTAATTTTGCCATTAAATCTTCTTTGTCTTTCTTCCTGTTGGCCTTCATTTCTTCCTTGTCAGCCTTTCTATTGGCCCTCAATTCATTCAGCAGGTATTCCATCTGCTGCATCTCCATTTTGTGGTAGTAACTAAGCTGGTAAACCACTTCTGACACCAATGTAACTTGTTTTGCCACTGATGACGCCATTCGGGTTGTTAATTGGTTCATTTAACAACCTACAAGTCGTAGCTACAAATACTTATGACACTGTGACAGGTTTACACACTTTACAAACCCTACTTACAAATCTCTTCACACTATCATATAAGATCTTCTAACCACGCGTTCGGGTTTTCTTTCCGCGACTGCTGCTATATTTCAACTGTCTTTGGCAGCTGGTGTATTTTAACTGACTCCTTAGGCAGTGTAGTTCTCTTATAAACCCTCAGCCAGACAACGGAAAGCAACTCGCCTCCCTGTTGCCTAGTCGCCTTGTTTAGAGGTGTTGCTCGGCAATGCTGTCGAGAGTTGTCTCCTGCTGCGTAGCAACTGCGGTATCCCCTGCTACATCAACGCGGGGGAGGGGGGCGGAGTGTTGACTGGCCTGTTACCGTAGTAGCGACAGCACTCCGATGTTGTTACGTCATTGCTGGCGGGGGAGGAGATGTCCTCTATAGCGCAATATATATATATATATATATTGTAACGTGTTTCGTTACTGAAGACGCCGTCGAGATGGTTAATTGGTTTATTTAACAATCTACAAGTAACGGCTACAATTAATTATCACAAGGTTACGGGTTTCCACAGTTTACAAACCCTACAACAAAATCTCTTCACACTATCTTGAAGAGTCTTCACGTATTAATAACGCGGGAGCTATACAAGTCTCCCTGAATTACACACTTTCACTCGTAACCCGCCGCTGGCTAGATTCCAACTCTGCTCACAAGATGCTGCCTTGAGACTGTTGATAACACACTGCTCATAGGCTTGCTCGGAACTATCTTCGGCGATAGCCACGTTACAACTCTACTCAGCGACTGTTACTTTACAACTCTGCCATAGCCACATAACAACTAACTCGTAGCTGCTGTGCAGTTCCCTTATATAGCCGCAGTGGTGCCTGTTGCACGACACGTCACAGGAGTTGTTGGCTGCTGCCTGGCAACCGTGATATCCCTTGGTGACGTCACCGCTGTTGACTCGCGTTGCATAGTTACCAGGTTGCGGGAGCTCGGCTAACTCCGCCCCCGCTCGTCTCACTTCGGCTCCGCTCGTGACGTCACCGCGGGGAGAGTGGCGGAGTGATGACTCCCCTATTACGCGAGCGCTACGTGCTGCTGGGGAGGTAGGGGTCAACATGTCACAATATATATATATTCATTCATTCATCAGTAATTTGTCAAGACGACAGGTCCACAGTCTCTTCCAAAACAGTTCTCCACTTGATGCGATCTAGAGCTTTCTCCTTCAAATGAAAATATCCTCTTCTGTACCCAAGGTCATCCAGCATCTTCTTACATCTTCTTCCTCCTCGTCATCTGGTCACTTCTATCCGCCCCTCTATCTTTCCTTCAATAACATCTTTTAGAAGGCAGTTACCGCGTAAGATATGACCAATCCAATTAGCCTTCCGTTTTCTTATTTCGTGTAGGATATTCCTCTGCTCACTGACTCTAAATAACACTTCTTCATTTCTCACATAATCGGTCCAACTGATCTTCTCCAGCCTTCTCCAACACCACATTTTGAAGCTTTCCAGGTGTGTCTGACCCACTGCCCTAAGTGTCCAAGTTTCAGCCCCATATAAAGCAATGCTCCAAATGTAGTATTTCACACACACACACACACATATATAAAGAAATTACTGCCAAAATCTTAAATTCACCAAACAGTCTTCTACAGGACACCCTGTGTTTCACTTCTTTAATGAGCCTTAGACTTCTTTTGTAATTTAAAGACTCTATTACTGTTATTTACTCCCCCCAAAAATAATACCTGATTTCAGTATACATTCAAATTTAGTAAAATAAACACTTCTTAGTAGTGGTAAACTTTCTGAGTATCGTATGGATTTAATCAAATAAAGAGCTTTGTTTAATTTATGGCAGAGATATTGTATATGAGTGGCCCAGCTTAAGTTATCTGTGATACAAATACCTAAAATTTTTAAATTTGATGAGTAAGTTATTTCTTTATTTTTTTAGATACAGAATGGGTCCATGAGTTAAACTAGATCCTCTTCCCTGAAATAATATTGATTTAATTATTTGTTAGGAACCAGTTTTCTAATTGTTTCATGACTGTTACTCATTTTTCTTTTAACAATGGGAGGTTTTTCTCTATGAGTAATATATTTGTGTCATCCGCGTGTAACACCACATTAGCTTCTTGAACTGCTTGGGGCACTGCAGTTAACACCATAGAAGCATGGGGACAAAACTGCACACTAACTTCTTCAGACATGTACCATCCATATTTTAAAGCAAAATTTGGAAACAGTTTTATAATGGTGCCAAAGCAGGTGCTTACAAGAAAAAAAAATTGGAATTATTGTTACTGCATGACGCAGAATGAAACCTGGAGGACATATATTAACTTTATTTTATCTATGGTTGTCACTAGCTCAGACTATACAGCATCAAACATGAGGATTATTAGCGAATAATGAATTGTAAAGTCTGTGAAAGAAAGCAGCCACGAGATAATTTAAGGCACTATCCTACAATTTGCCTGCACTACAAAAAACCTGTATCACAATAGTCAGTCTCTTGCCCAAGATTTGAAATTGGGATCCACAGTAAATGAAGAAGTGTTAACCACCTGACCACATTTAGTGACATACAGAAATAAAATAACTAGAAAACCGAGATTAACGGACGTGGGGATCTGTTGCGCTGACCACGCGAGACACCCTGTATCTGCTAAAGCTGGCACTAAGTTCATCAACAAGAAGTGGTAGATCAGTCGGTATATTTCACTTGTGGACTAAAACCATGGAGTTATAATTTTTCATAATGATTATACCCCTGTTAAAACTGATTATGTGTTACTTACCTTTCTCGCTGAGGCAGTACCAACCTATACATGTGCATGTTTTATGAAACTCAGAGCAGATCATATTTTCACACATATTTACCTCTGGCTGCTTCATACTTCTGCCAGCTCTAAATTTCAAAGCCTAAAGTTTTACAATACTCACTTAACATAATATACGCCATATTCTGGTGATTCTATTCTCTCCCAACCAGTTGGAAGTCCTTCTTTCTCAAGAGGATGGCTCCAATGAGTAGTCTTTGTATTATGGTCAATATAATACTTTCGTCCTCGCATGGTATAATCTATAGACCATCCAGGAGGCAATGGTAATTCTTCAGCTTGATCAATACCAGCACCTGAAATGAACAGCATAGACATTATATAATGTAAACAGTCAAATATCTGGAATTCAGTCTTCTGGGACATAACATGGTGTAGTCCATTGAAAGTCAGCTATCATTTCTGAGGAGAATATCACCTTCATTTTCAGGGTCAAAGTACAGGCCAAGCAGGAAACAGCAACACTTCATACTCATCACTGTTGAGAACCTCAAATTCAGCAAAGATATATCTAATTTTAATTTTTTACAGTCATGAAGGATCTGATGATGGCACATACCTCATGCCAAAACACTTAACCTTTATCTGACTATATAAAGTTGCTGAACAACTGAATCAGAATTTTTTGCTCAAGAAATTTCTACCCAGGTATGTCTGTTGAATGCATTATTCTGCTCTCATTATTTGTATGTTGTCCTGAACATCATCTTACTACGATTACCTTATTTTCAACCAAGTCACAGAGTACTAATGCATTTTACAATTCTGAACATTTACATTCTGTAGGTTTTATTAACATTTATATTGCAGAACAGGCATATTTGTAACAAATTACCATACAAATTTCAAACATCAAATTACACTGATTCATCACTTCTTGTCATAAAGAAAAATAATCTATCTGATCACCATATTTTTTCAACATTTTTAAAATACCACCTTATTAAAAGATGTTATTATTCAAAGAAGTACCAACTTTTGCAGCTAGAGGGTGTCACGTGGTCATCACAACGAATCCACATGACCGTTGATCTCGGTTTTCTAGACTGGAGCCGCGATTTCCTTGAAATCACTCCTGAGTTATTCTCACGAGGCTGAGTGAACCCCAGTCCAGACCCACTACTTCTCAGAAAATCTGGTAGTGCCGAGAATCGAACCCGGCACCCCTGGGTCTGTAGGCAGGAACTCAAACTTTGCTGAAAAGCGGTGGTCACCTGGTCAGTATAGTTCACTTGCAGACTACAGGCCACAGAGTTGGTTTTTTCTTTAGGTTATTATTCAAAGAACTATCAGCTTACAACATTTCAATATGCTACAGCTGAATGGAGCCAGTGCTTTGCAGCATCAAAGTTTACACACCCTATGTGTAGTATCTGCACATGTAAGAACAGTTTATCTAGCCTAATTTTGCTTAAAGCCGCTTGTTGAAGTCTTGTCTTCACCAGCCAATGTTGAGGTTGGCAGACCTCTCCAAAACAGTCCTGTTTCATCTCCATTATGAGTTTAGTTAGCAGTCAGATCACTGTCTTTAACAAACTGTTCAAATGTTTCCAAATATTTGCTAGCAGGGTCCTAATATCTTCTCTCCAGAAACATCAAACCTTTGAATTCCATGCCAAAGTTTGAAGCATTTAAGCCAGAAAAAGTGCACTCATCATAAATACGAGGGGGGACCCAAAAATAACCGGAATTTATTTTTCTTAGTTTTTATTTTTGCATTTTTATTGAACTGTATATTAGTCCCCTTCAAAGTATTGTCCATGTGCATTAATGCACTTGTCCCAACGCTTTTGCCACTGCTCAAAACGGTGCTGGAATTCTTGAGGCTGGATACTGTTCAAAGCCTTTAGCGTGTTTTCTTTGACTTCATCCACATCACGGAATAGCTTTCCTTTCAGACTTCTCTTCATCCGTGGAAACAAAAAAAAAGTCCGACGGAGCCAGGTCGGATGAGTAAGGTGGATGAGGCACAATCACCATGTTGTTGCTTGTCAAAAACTGTCAGACCGTCAAAGCTGTGTGGGCTGGAGCATTGTCGTGGTGAAGCAACCAGCTCCCATTTCTCCACATTTCGGACCGTTTTCGTCGCACACTCTCTTGTAATCTTCGTAACACATCCAGGTAAAAATGTTGGTCCACTGTTTGTCCTGGCGGAACAAACTCTTTGTGGACAATGCCATTCACATCAAAAAAACAAATCAACATTGTTTTCACATTGGATCGCACTTCACGCGCTTTCTTTGGTTGTGGTGAAGTTGGAGTTTTCCACTGGCTTGATGATTGCTTTGATTCTGGATCGTACCCGTAGCACCAAGACTCATCACCAGTCACAATTCTTTTAAGAAATTCTGGATCGTTCTACACTTCACTCTTCAAGTCGTGGCAAACATTCACGCGGTTTTCTCTTTGGTCATCTCCGAGCAAGCGAGGAACAAATTTTGCAGACACCCGTCTCATGTGCAAACCTTTGGTTAAAATTCGCTGGACCGTGCTCCATGAGATGTTCGTTTCCTTAGAAAGTTGGTCAATGGTCTTTCGACGATCTTCATCAATTGCACGTTTGATTTTGGCAATGTTTTCGTCATTTCTTCCTGTCGAAGGACGCCCGGGGCATGGCATGTCTTCTGTTGACATGTTGCCAGATTTGAAACGGGAAAACCACTCGTAGACCTGTGATTTCCCCAAAGCATCATCATTAAAGGCTTGCCGAAGCATCCCAACAGTCTCGGCTGTAGTTTTCCTCAACAGAAAGCAAAATTTCATGCACACTCTTTTGTTCCTTCTGGTCAGCCATCTCACTAATTGCCAAAGGGTTGAAACAGGAACGCACACAACAGAGCACCACAGACAAACCACTTAACTCAGACTGATGCCAGCTCACTAACAGTCGCGGGAGACCCCCAGCTAACACCACCTAGCAGCACAACTCGTAACTATAAAGCATGCGCGCGCAACAGGTCAGTTCCGGTTATTTTTGGGTCCCCCTTTGTACATGCCAAGTTACACCTCTATTTTAATGATAATTTAAATTTTCTGAGCTATAGTTAACATATTTCTTATTCTTTTCTTCTCACTACACTGCATTACATTTTTACAGATCTTGGTTCAGGGATGTGAAGATTATTAATATATATGCAAGTGAAACTGCTGAACTAACACACGACAATGGATACTAAGTGTGGCCAGTGAGTACAGCTCATCTCCAAAGTGTGAAGACGGATAGCAGCAAAAATATGCCTATAGAGAAGGCAGTGAATTATAATGAACTCTACAGAAAAATACAGAAAAACAGCTTTTTCTGTATATGCTAAACCTAATTGTTCTACTTCCTCTTTTACTTTCTCTACTCAACTCTCCATGTTCAAGTTGTTTATCAGCTATTGATAACAAATTCTTAATATATCCTAAGAATTCATGTGTATCAGATATAACCAGTACTTCACAGTCATGCATAGCACCTTATCCCTCTTACAACATACATGTAAAGGTACCAAGCACCCCTCTTACTGCTCTTTCTTGACTCCGGTTCAGCCACAGTATTTTCTGCAAATCTGGGCAACCCTAGCATTTTCTTACAAAATCTACTCTGAATTGTAACAATTTCTTTCCATCCAACAGCGAANATGCAGAAATGCTTTGTGGGATCACCTGACATAAAGGTGAACATGTTGGAAAATGTAAGATTTGAGGCTTTCATGGCAGTGACTATGAAGAAAGCAGTCTTCTGGGATTTGGCACCGTGTATATGTGGTGTTAACCGACGTTTCGGAGGAACGTATCGCCTCCATCTTCAGGGTAGAAGGAAAAAATATAAGAAATCCGCAAGCGAAGAGACTGTGAGACTGCTTTTACCGGTTCTCATGGTCTCTTCGCTTGCTGATTTCTTATATTTTTTCCTTCTACCCTGAAGATGGAGGCGATACGTTCCTCCGAAACGTCGGTTAACACCACATATACACGGTGCCAAATCCCAGAAGACTGCTTTCTTCATAGTCACTGCCATGAAAGCCTCAAATCTTACATTTTCCAACATGTTCACCTTTATGTCAGGTGATCCCACAAAGCATTTCTGCATGGCTAGTAAGGTCTACTGTGCTGGTCTTTTGTCTATTCCATCCACCTTTGTTTTCAAATGTTACTTGTAAGTAATTTATTTTGTCTGCAACTTTCATTGTTATTTCACATACAGTCTGCCTCCTTTCTTAAACACTAGCATTCTGGCTTAATTTAACTTACAGCTCAAAATTCAGCTGCTGTAATACTCTGCAACTTGGTGTTACGTTACATGTCATATTACATTACATATTTAGATCTGGAAACTGCTGCTGATATTACTTTACCTTGAGAAGGAGCCCGCTGTCCTTGTCCTTGCTGAGGAGTTGGTGAATGAGCTGGCACAGACAGACTGTGAATATTATGAGGGTCATGACGGGGGTGATGGAGTGACTGGGGTGACACCAAATGCTGACCAAATGGTACAGGCACCTATATAAACAAAATCCAGAATACATTTACACCCAAAATGGCAAAATCCTGGGATCAGTGGATCTTGCCAGCTGCCAATTTAAAGTGATTGCATAGAAAGACACTAATAACTCTATTTCTGAAAATAAGAAAGAAAATGAATACTACTGAAGCTGAATAAGTTGCCTCAGGCAGGAGCACTTCAGATGTGTATCCCAGTAGGTGCCTGATTCAAATCTCATTTGGGACATAGACTATACAGAATGAAGTTATTCAAGGTTTTCCATGTAAATACAAGCAAAGTACATTGAAATAAAGCACAATCATTTCCTGCCACATCCTTTCCACGTCATCACTCATTAATCATCCAGGAATATAATGCATCATTAAATAAACCACAAACATAATAACAATAATATAATTAAATTCTTTGTTTATTTATGTGCTTACACAACAGCCCAAAGACCGATTATAAAATAAGCACATGCAACGTTGCAAAGAAACAAACACATACACACACACACAAAATGGCAATAGATAAAACAAGGAAATTTGAATCATGCAGACAGTAATAAAACTTAACAAGTACATATGTGCCAGCCATTATGCAACGAGGGAAAAAACATACATTCATAGTGAGTATAATTAATATTTTAATAAAAAGAAAGATCCACTATAAAACACTATTAGGAAAACCAGTTTCATCTCTAAATAGTGTCCCTGCAAATAACATTAGCAGCTGAAACACATTTAGTAGAGGGAGAATTTTTAGGTGAGGAGTAGGCACTGAACAAAGCAAATTCCCTGATATACCAAGAAAGAAGTAGAAGATCAACAGTGGCGGTGGTAGTAGTAGTAGTAGTAGTAGTAAAGGTAAAAGTAAAGTTGTCCACATGCTTAACTGATTAGGTCTTGTCCCTGCCAGGAACCAAACCCCCTCCAACCCACGGCCCTGTTACTATGCTGACTGAATAACTTAGTTCAATTCTTTATTTATTTATGTGCTGAGCTCAAGAGCCAAAAACAATTAAATTCTTATTCATTTGTGTGCCAAGTTAACAGCCCAAGGGCCAACCGCTAGCGAGTATGAATAAAAAAATAGAAGGAAACAAACATAGAAAAAGTATAAAACAATGCAAAATAATAATAACAACAAATATTGAAGTTATCATTTAGAAGTTACAACAACATTTAACCTTTAACGTATGGACTTTTAAATTGCCAGGAGCCCTGTACGGCCCGAATTTAAATCACCCTAATTAATTAATACTGCAAACATTCAGGAAAAAATGCATATTTTCCGTTCTATGCAACATAGAAATATGAACTAAAAAGAATCTGAAAGACAATAAAATTTTCTACATATACATAAAAGAACAAGTTTTACAAATGAAAATTAACTGTGAATATTTTGTCATGAAATGCAAAACATACTCTTTATTATATACGTTATGAAGTTCCAAAGGACTTACCCATTGTTTTTTCTTCAATCTTGAATCATGATGATATTGTAGATATGATCACACTATATACAATAATATTTTGTTCAGACTGTACGCGAGTTTGAACTGCGTCACTTCACAGTTTACGCTATCTCACACTCTGACGCGCGTGTGCCATCTCTCGAAACAGTCCTCCACACAGAGTGCAATGTTACACTTTTTACAGTAGTAGGCCGTGGTTCTGCGCTTCTTATTCTGAGAACAAATACGACAATGTCTTTGTTTTCCTTTGGCTGGCCAGTGTTGTGAATGTTTCACCTCCAGTCAACTCTGTTGGGCCCCAGATGAACTTGGCCTCCCCCGAGAAACGCCACTGACTGTGATATTCGCCTCATGCGACTGAAGAATCAAATCACGCACCGATATTTCGCGGAACTTTTTGTGTGTCATTTTTCCACCACATGACTTGTGTAATAGATATGCATTTAGAATAGTCATATCTAGAAGGTGGAAAAATAATTTCTTTGCCCACTTCCATGCCCTCCTAGCAATGCCATAACTGTTTACCATCCTGTCAGATTTATCAACAAAGCCCATGTGTGCATTGTAGTCTTCAATTACATGGGGTTTGACAGCATGGCCGGATTCTTCTTGGAAGGTGCCTTCCAATGGAGGAGGGTGCAAATTCGTCAGAACATACACGTCACGCTTGTCTTTCCAACGAACAACACTTAGCTGCCCCTTGACTCTTGTAACAACATCCCCTTTTTTTTCAATTTCATTGATTGGGCCAAATTTCTTGTGGCATTCCACGCCTATCATTACGAACGGTGCCACATGAATTTATTTTCCTGCCTAAAAGATCGTCAAATAAAGCAGGAGAACTGAAATAACTGTCCATGTAAATTTTGTGTCCCAAGCCTTCTACTCTTCGAATTAGCTGGAGAACAATGCCATGTGTTGATGTAATTTCTTCTGTCGCAAGTTGCCTTTGTTTGCCTAAATAAACATTCATGTCATAAGTATAGCCAAGAAAACTGCAAAGCTTGTAAATTTTTATACCAGATCTTTTGCTTTTCTTTGGAATATACTGATGAAAAATTACTCTTCCTTTGAAGAGCACTATGACTTCATCAACAGCAAGACTTTCTGATGGATTGTAAATTTCACAAAATTTGTTGTTCAGATAATCAGAAATCTTTCTAATTTTCCAGAGCCTATCATACTCTGGGTCATCTCAATTGGGAGGAGCTTCATTATTTTCAAAATGTAGGAATCTCAAAATATGGAAGAAACGGTCTTGTACCATGGTGTTACAGTAGAATGGAGTGTAGTATTGCTTATCTCTTTGAGGGTGTCCCATTGATGGCCCATTTGAATAATTATTGCCAAAAAGTTATATATCTCTTCAATTGTGATGCCAGGCAGCTGAACAGAAGGGCCTGGAGCATCTTGGCATGCCATAAATTGGTGGAAATATCTGTTGGTTTCTTGTAACAAAATTTGGAATATTTGTTGGAAAAACAGAATGAAAATGGAAAAAGGAGAGGACTGTGCATTTATATTGGGAGCAGCTGATCTGTTGATTCCACTCGGAGGACCAGTGAAGTCTATTACCTTTGGTGAATCCCCGGGTCTTCTATCACGAAACCTAATTTCCGTTTCCTCTGTCTTGTCTGATGATGATGATGATGATGATGATGACGACGACGACAACGACAACATATCTGCTCAAGGTTCAGTGAACTCATTGATATCTTCTAACTCTTCATCAGATTCCTCTTCCATCAATATTTCCTCCAACACTTCTGCATCGAGAATTTTGGAATATCGGGCACGTTTTTGAGGTTCCATCTTGGGGGAGGGGGTTTCCAGCAAAATCGAATAAATTATGATGATTCACAAAGACTTGCAAAATAGTGATGCAAAGTAACTGTAACAGTATGGTACAATAGGCCAGAAGTGGCAGCAGTCCCACCCCACTAGCAGTAAAAAATAATAACTGTAATAGTAGTCGAAAAAGTGCCAGTCCGACACTGATACGGAAAGTCACAGTGACGAAGATGCCTTCTACTCACAAACAAATACTGGCTCAGTGGGCTTATACCTCTTCCGAGACACAAAATAGTATAAACAGAAATATATGAGAGTATGACACTAACTTTTTAAGTGAAAAAGAAATATAACACAATCCAACACTGACTTCCTAACTGATAATTCACCACTGAAAACCAATCCTTGAATATGTCACACTTCTTTGAAAGCTTTGGAAGCAATGATCTGTAAGCACCGACGAATATTTCCTCTTCAGTTCTCAGAACAAAGCTAGGCTACATTTGGCTCACCAGGTCATAAACAGTCATATATAAACGTAAATAGTTTCGAAATTAGGACCGATATAAACGATTTGTTTGTTCAGAGCTAAGGAATGAACACTGACATGACTTCACATAGGTTTCTTTTGGTTTCAAACCCAAGGTCAAACTGTCAGCACTCCTAAAGAGTGCACGTGTCCTGCGACACATATATGTGTCATTCGGTCAACTCCAGTCCCTGCTTGTGACATGTATACGAGTCATTCAGCTGTTAAAGTTTAAGTAATAATTTACAAGTGAGAAAGTAATGCCTAATGTGAAACTAATGATGATAATAATTAGGTCCATCTACTTGAGTGCTTGCCAGTGGCCAAGATACAATTACAGGGAAGCACTTGATAAAAAACAAGTAACAAGAAGTAAACCAAAAACAAAGACGAGGAGAATTAAGAACATAACAACTAAGAACTACATATACAAGTACATTAGGATTATGAACAAAAGCCTTAAATATTATTAAGAATTTAGGAAGGTGATTGTAAATACAATCGAGAGAAACCACTCTGATTGCAATATGTCAAGATCTTTACCAACCACACTGGCAGCATAGGCACACTTAACAGGACTGTGTTTATTTGCAGGTCAAGCACTAAACATTGATACATCAATAACAATTTGAGCAGGAACACAAAAACTAATATTTTCCATGTGGGAAGTACAGAAATTAAGACCACAATATACCCAAACGTCAAAAGCGCTTCAAGCTGATGTCTCCATTTTTGTAGAAAATGTCAATTTAATTTCTCTAAAATGTAAGTATAATTACAAGGAACATAAGGGGAAAAAAATGACAGACACAGAAGAAAACAAATTTCTGCTGCATACATCCAAGCGTGCTGGCATCAGTAGACATACCAGAATTCCAAACTACTGGGGCATATTCCAATTTGGACCTGATTAATATAAAGTACAGCAAATTTAAACAATCCAGGGATGAAAACCTGAAGGTTATGGGGCAAATAAGGCCTAAGAGCTTATGCATTCATAAAATACAAAAGCAACACAATTTTGAAAATATAATTTTGAACCAAAGAAAGTAGCTAATTCCTTAATACTGCTGGTGCATGTAATGGCAGCATGACAAAGCCTATGCTTATATCTCAGAATGACTGTCTTCCTGAAGTATGACAACACATTTTACTAACTTTATCATTATCATTATCATTTATTTACATGTCAAAAATCCTTTACAAGGTCGTAAGACTCAGGATATAGACAATAGTCCAATATAACAATTAAATATAATAATTACAAAAAATATAATACGTGTTAAAATATTTATGTAAACATAATTTTAAAATTATAAAATTTGTAATTTAACTTTTCATTAATTAAGTATATAATCCCAATGAAATCAATTATCAATCTTCTTAACCCTGTAATCAAAAAATTCATCAATACCATAAAATGAATGTAAATGGAGAAATTGTAATAGTGCTTTCTTGAATCGATTTTTGTTTTTGGATAACTGTTTTATTTTGCGTGGAAGACTATTATAAATTTTGATTCCAAAATACTGTGGACCTTTCTGAAATGCTGTTAGATTTGACGAGGGGAGATGCAAATTTGAACTATTTCTTGTTACAGTTGTATATATATCTGAATTTTCTGCAAATAAATCCATATTATTAACTACAAACATCATCAAAGAATATATATATTGAGAGGGCAGTGGTAATATTTTCAATTGGCTAAAGATTTTTTTACATGAATCTCTGTTTCCAGCTCCCACCATTATTCGAACAGCTCTCTTCTGCAATTTAAAAACGCACATACTGAGAGTTCTATTTCCCCAAAAAATCAAACCGTAAGACATCACTGAGTGGAAAAAGGCGTAATACACCATTTTAAGGGCATCAATATTTAAATACTGTTTGGTTTTCCTAATTATATAACAGGCTTTATTTAATTTACCTATAATTGAATCTATATGCCCTTTCCAAGATATTGTGTTATCCAGTGTCATACCCAAGAATTTTACCTCATTTGACTCTAATAGAATTTTGTTTCCATATTCAATATTTAATTTTTTGGTAAAATTATGTTTAGCTGAGAAATTTACACAGCAAGTCTTGCCTAAATTTAATGAAAGCATATTTGAATTAAACCATTCATTCATCGATCTAAACACCGTAGTAAGTTTTTTTTCCAGCTGCATAAAATTTAATTCATTTACTATTACACTTGTATCATCGGCAAATAGCACAACTGATGTATGTGATAGGACAGAACACTGTATAAAGGGGGGTAAGTCATTTACATAAATCAAAAACAATAGCGGACCCAAAATCGATCCTTGAGGAACTCCTTTATCAATTTTTCCCCAATTTGATAACTTATTGTTAAATTTTACTCTTTGGTATCTATTTTCTAAATATGACTCAATTAGAGAATACATCACACCGCTTACACCATAATATTTCATTTTAACCAATAATATACCATGGTCCACACAATCAAAAGCCTTCTCCAAGTCAAAAAATATACCACCACTTTTCCTTTTATTATTTAAGGCCATCAGTATATCATTTGTTAATTTGTAGGTTGCATTTATAGTTGATGTGTTCTTCCTAAATCCAAACTGACAATTTGAAAGGATATTATTTGTAATAAGGTGAGCCATTATTCTCTTATATATAACTTTTTCGAAAATCTTAGAGAAAGATGGTAATAGAGAAATTGGTCTAAAATTTGATACATTATTTTTATCACCTTTCTTGTATATAGGGGTAACAATCGAATATTTCAGTCTACTTGGAAAAACACCTGTAGATAATGACTTATTTATAATACAACATAATGGAGAGCTAATAAAGGGTGCACTAATTTTCAATAATTTTATGGATATTTCATCGTAACCACAACTGTTTTTCCAGGGAAGATTTTTTATAATTTCTTCAATTTCGCCTGTAGAAGTATTGTGAAATATAATGTTATCATACTGAAAATTTAGAATCTGCGATAAGTTGAATGGAGAGTAAGTAGTGCTATTAGTATTTAAACTATTATTACTCTTAATTTTACCAGAGATACTTTCAGCAATTTTTAAAAAGTGATCGTTGAAATTCTCAGCATTAATTTTTATGGAAGCTTCTTCACAATTTTTGTCTATATCTTGTTTATCAGTTTTGTTGTTATTTACTCCCATATCACTTTTTATAACATTCCATGTTGCTTTAATCTTATTGTGAGCATGGATAATTTTATTATTGTAGTTCAACTTTTTGGCAGCTTTTATTATTTTTGATAAGATCTTACTATACCTTAAATAGTAATTTCTCAGTTTCTCATCATTATTAGACCTCATTAACAAGTATAGCTCCTTTTTCCTTTTGCAAGAATTTATTATGCCTTTTGTTATCCATTGATTAGTTGACTTTCTTTCATAGACTTTTATTTTAGGGAAACATGAATAAAAAATCTGCAGGTATGTATTCAAAAAAGAATTAAAAATATCATTCGCATCTTTGTTGGTGTTATCAAATATGGTTTGCCACAGCTCCTCACTCAGCTTATCTTTAAATTCCATTATACAGTATGAGTCAATTTTCCTTATAATTCTAACTCTATAATTTACTCTTTTACAATTTAATTAGGCGTATATATTTCTAAGATCTGGGCGTCGTGATCTGATAAGCCGTTTGATAATGAGGAGGTTACAAAGTTTACAAATTTGGTAGAATCAAGGAAAATATTATCAATGGTAGTTTTTGAATTGCTAGTAATTCTTGTGGGAAAATGAATTATACTTACAAGATTGTATGAATTTAATAAATTATTTAATTCATTTTTCTCTTTAGATTCATTAAGGTAATTTATATTTATATCCCCACAGATTATTAGATGGATACCTGATTTGTAAACTTTTTTAAGAATATTTTCTAAGCCATTTAAAAAGAACTGGAAATTTCCACTAGGTGATCTATACACAGTAATAATACAAACATTTATGGATGATAATTTCAATTTTAAAGCACATGCTTCTAGTTCCTTTTCTTTATAATGTCTTGCTATATTTATTACTGAGAAGGAAAACCGCTTATGAATATACATACATACTCCTCCTTTATGGAAGGATTGTCTGCAAAATTCAGCACCAAGATTCAGCACCACTAATATCAAGTCTCATAGAGTTAGCTGCATACCAGTCACTCAAAGAATTAACGTCAGGTTGGAGTAAGGGGTAATCAAGTGAAGAGTTTATAGCACGGAAGAGTTTGATATCATCAGTAAAGATTTAAAATGTAAAATGGTTGAGTAACATAGGTCATTAATGAATACATTAGAAAGAAAAGACCCCCCAAAACAGTGTCTTGTGGCACACTGGAAGTTACTTGAATAAATAGGGAGACAGTAACAGAAACAACGAAGACTACATATTCTGCACATGCAGTAAGTGATGAAGAACACAATACTTAATTGGTTTCTAAACCAAAAACAAAGAAATTTGTTATGTGCAAACATACTTGTTGATATGGTGATAAACGGTAATCTTCCACATGGCTGTGGTATGCTGGTACATCATTGTAACCTATTTCATGATGTACTGGAAGATCATGAAGTTCATCTGCACCTTGCAAGGAGACATAACCTGAGCCAAGCTGAGGACCCTGCAACAAAGAAGCACCAATTACACTGGCAAATATACTTCCTGATTATATGCAAATGTATGCAAAATGTCAACTGACGCTCCAGACACTCTAGCTTCAGTAATTCAGACTTTCTATAGTCCAAAATATTGTGTGATATGAACACTTTACTATACATTCCTACCCAGCAGAACCAAATGCTCCAGTCTAGCCAGCAGTGTTCTGCCTTTATTCTGTCCCATAAATCCTCCACCATTTTGCTTGGTGTCAACTGCACCTTATATACCACATCATTTCTTTAGCTTCATATACACCAAGCCAAGGAAGCAGACAGATTTACTCTTTGACTAGAGCTCCCAAAAATGAGCTTTTGTGCATGTAACACTGTGAAAAAGTGAGAAAATACTGTTCTGTTAGTGCTGTCAGGTTGTGCAGTTACATTTCTGCATGACCCGACATCTAGAACAGGACTCATCACTGCTACCCATATTTCACATAATTAGGCATGTGTGATGCTTGCAGGGTCAACACTTTTACTGAGCTTCCCAATGACACATGAAAAAAATTAAATGTATAAGTAATATTACTGTCTTTACAAATTATCTTTTAAGTTATATATTGTCTGAGAAGGAAATAAACTCTCAAAATCTTCATAATAACCTATATTAGATTCCATGAAAAATATTAACTACACTTCACATATTTACATCAAAAATATTGTGACATGTCAAACGATTGTTGGGCAATAGAATGTGGAATGAGTTACCACAAAGACAGATTCTTGGTAAAGGGTCAGTTGCCAAGTTATGCAACAGTGGAGTCCGTGCAGCGATTGTTGCTAGGCAATCAGTTGGTAAACATTTCCAACAATATAGGCTTTTTTCCTGTGTGGTCCGCAAGAGGCTTATGTAAGGGGGTTCAATGAGTCATAAAAGACAGAACCATCTTCTCGTCAGAGAGGATGTTACATAAGGACATATGTTCAATTGGAAAATAAAAAATCTCTGGTTGTGGTCCACAAGGGGCCTGATGACAAGACGAACTGATTGGCAGTAAACCGCTTTTCATAAAGTAACTCTGACTCTCTGAGGCAGTGTAGCTGAAACATAGCAGCTGAGGGAGACAGTTGAAGTCTGGAAGTGACTATCACAGAAGAAGTAATTAAGACAATAAAATTGTGAATTGTGTAAATGTGGAACCTCAGTCTAAGACGAATAATTCAATTTACAAGTGCATCAAGTGTTATTCTGCAAAAAAAAAAAAATAACACAAAACAGATAATAGAATTCCTGCCGGCCATGAGAGTGGAAATGAAAGCCTGGCGAGAAGAGATGGCCGCAGAAACGGAAGCCATCCGAGCAAGTATGAAAGTCATGTGAGAAACGATGGACGCCGACCACAAGAAGATGATGGCCTGGCTGGAAGACGAGAAGCCGAACTCAGAGGACAGAAAACCTGACATGGCACAAAACAAAAACGTCCCCACAGAGAACGCTGAAATAATGCTGGTCGGAGAACCGAAGAAGAGGTGCAGGGACTGAAACCAACAAAAGATAAAGGAATGGACCCAGAGTCAGGATTGGTGCCGAAAGAAACTGACCGCCACTGGCATGATGACCCACCGTGAAAAAGTGGCATGGTGCAAAGAAATCATCAGAAGAAACTGGTTCAGGGCAACGTAGTGAGAGGAACCTTGAGAGGACAGACATCTGGAAGGAGACGTCAGCTGCAACTGCAATGCAGTGAGGGCATAAGGAACCGAGATGTAGAGGAACCTATATATCTGGGGAAGAAGGGGACAACCGCAATCAGTGTTGGAGGATGGCGCTCAAGACAGCTATCACCTCCGGGAAAAATAGGACCAGCCTATCAGATTCTAAAGAAAATGCTAGCAATTAAATTTTGAATAGAGCAACCAGGATGTTCGGCGGATTGTGGAGAGACTCGACATTGTGGAGGTATAAGCGTCATCTGGAGCGACGGGACACTCTGAAGGGGTCTACCCCCTACAGAGCGAAAGAGAAAATGAAACAACGCACAGAGGAGAGGCCGGTAATGTAGAAGCACCAGCCTTCCCAGGAAGAGTGAAAGAATGAATGAAAGATGACCAAAACATGGAGTGACTGGTAGTACAACTGAACCGGCTTTCACCCTACCACAAAGGTGCTCGAGATGAGCACCCTTGAAGGAGGAGGCAGATGTGGTAGAATGAACACCACAAAAGACATGCAAAGAGCAGCAAGACTGAATGCAGACATTGCTAGCGGGAATCCGCGGAAACAACGGGAAAAAAAGGAATGGGGATGCACTGTTAGGCTACTTGGTATGAACAGCCATAAGGAGGGAGCAGTGTGACATGTCAAACTGTTGTTGGGCAATGGGATGTGGAATGAGTTACCACAAAGACAGACTCTTGATAAACGGTCGGTTGCCAAGTTAAGGAACAGAGGAGTCTGTGAAGCGACCATTGCTAGGCAATTGGTCGGTAAACACATCCAACAATATGGGCTGTTTTCTGTGTGGTCCACGAGAGGCCTATGTAAGGGGGTTCAATATACCAGGCAGAACAGTTGAAATATAGCAGCCACCAGAGAGAGTTGAAGTCTGAAAGTGACTATCGCAGAAGAAGTAATTGGGACAATGAAATTGTGAATTGTGTAAGTGTGGATAAAAGCGTGCAATAAATTTGCTAGATCAAAGACCGGCATGAAGTTATTTGTCGTGTTATGCAAACAACACATGACAATATTATTGATACTCACAGAACAGATACATTACACTGAAACAAAAGACAGCTCACTCATCTGTGACCTACTACATAACTTACAATCATCCAATATGTTAACACTTGACACCTTGTTGCTATGGTAACTCAAATTTCATGATATCAGAGCTCCTGTCATCCCACTGTTACAAAACTTTGGAGAAGTAATGGCAAGGACATCAGTGACTGTCCTGGTTTTAACTTCTTGGCATGGACCACATAGAAAATGCCGTTCTTCTACTGTTGCTTTTGTATCCGTTTCCATGGGAATGTGTTTAATGAGCTCTTGCCCAGAAACAGGATGCATAACTCCATTTATTAAGAATCTGTAGCCCTAGCAGCAGGCGTTGTTTCATGACCATTACCCAGTAATGGGTCTACAGAGTACAATGTTAATAGTGTGTTCATTTTCTTATACTACTGACTATATAGGATGTATCAAAACTCAATGGCAAAACTTCAGGATCGGACTCCTCATATAGAGAGAAGAAAAAAGTGTATGACAACATGGATCCGGAAATGCATAATTACAGAATTATCTAACCTTTTAGTAAAGTTAGTACAATCCGACACTCCCAACACTGTTGCACTGTTACACTGAATACGTCTGTAATGCCAGCTGGAACACTCTGGTCACATATAAGAGGAAATGTTCAAAGTGACCTCCTCCTGTCTGAATACAGGCCTCCGCTCGTCATCGTATTGAGTGCTGCACACGATCAGAAATGCCCGGTGTAGTGCGTACTGTCTGACAGGCTGCCACAATGCGCGCATGGAGAGTTGGTACATCAGCAATAGCAGTCGGATACACGACAGACTTTAAGTGTCCCCACAGGTAAAAGTCCAGGGGGTTTAAGTCAGGAGAGCATGGTGGCCAAGCAATCGGTCCACCTCTACCTATCCAGTGCCCAGGATAATGTGCATTAAGGTGCCTATGGGCAGACAGACTGAAATGTGTGGGAGCACCATCATGCATGAAGTACATCTGTCGACAGGATGCTAGTGGCATGTCTTCCAAGTAATCAGGCAATGTAGTATGCAAGAAATCTGTGTAGTTCTGTCCATTAAGCTTGTCTGGAAGAACTTAGGGTCCCAACAAACAATCACGAACAACGCCTGCCCAGATGTTAACGGCGAACCTCTGTTGATGAGATGACTGGATAGTTGCATGGAGATTTGTGTCCACCCACACATGCTGATTATGAAAATTTTGGATTCCGTCCTTTGTGAATGTCACCTCATCCGTGAACACAACAGCTGCGAAGTTAGGCGTAGCACCGCATTGTTGCAGGAACCACCAGCAAAATGTTACTCTTGCAGGATAATCTGCAGGAGACAAGGTTTGTACATGCTGTAATGATATGGATACAGGAGTTGTTCTTTTAGCAGTCTCCAGATCGTCATGGGTGGGATAATCTTTTGCAGGCCTAACTGCCTTGTGCTGACTCCAGGACTTCGATCCACAGCGTTGAGTACATCTTCCACATCCCCAAGGGTTCTACTTCTTGGTCGTCCCCCTGGGCCTGGTGGACGTGCAAAACTCCCATGTTCGCATAGGCGGCAATGGATTCCTTCAAATGTCTTTCAGTCTGGCAATTTGTGCATTGGGTAGTGTTCCTGATACAAGCAACAAGCTTCCAAAGCATTACTATCCACCAAACCATACATGAAATGCATGCTCGCAGGTTCTACATTTGTGTACATTATGTATCACTTCACAGCAGACTGCAAACAACACTTAATATTCACAGATAACAGATGTCATACACACCTTTCAGATACAGCTACAGCTACTTAACTGGAGACGACAGGATATCAACTGCGTGTCCTAGAGGTATTCATGCCCACATTAAACTGATTTGCAACATGATTACTTGTGTAACAATTGTAACCGGTGTCTTGCATTTTTATTCCGGCAAACAGGATGTGCTGGTGTGCACTCCGTAAATTACACGCTCGGATAACTCTGTAATTATGCATTACCCATTGGATAGCAGGCTGGCTGGGTCCCAGAGCTGATCTAGATGATGTGAAGAGAAAGTTCTTGACCCTACCAGAACTCAAATCCCAACCTCTCGGCCATCCAGGCCATAGCCAGTCGCTATACTGACTGAGCTACCCAGCTCATAATCATGAAATCTTTTCTACATAACTAGTCAAAGATTCTTTTCTATAGAAATATATAATTAAAGATATCAAATATCGAATTATTTACTACAATAGTTAATGATATGTGAAATAAATACTGAAACAAACTTTTTCTATGAAAATAAATAGAACTTCATAATCAAAGTATCAAATTTACTTCTAAAGCAATTAATGGCATATAGAATACACCCAATGACTGCAAAGGAATAATTTCTGGTAAGGAGAAAGCAATAATGATTGTTGTGTGGACTGCAATCACATTAAACTAAGGTATGAGTTCTAGAAGACTGAAAATTTCTCGCATTCAATGTGGTTACTAAATAAAAATTAACCAACAAGGAAATAATTACTGTATTATGCTCCACTTCACTAAATGCAGGTATGCTGAATCTGGGTTTCACCGTAAATGCAATTAAGACAATGATTACAGAAAATGTGTACTGCCATTTCATTTATACATAACTGAAGGTTACATACCTGAACCTTATCCAGATTATATTCAGAACCTGTATACTGATTCATGTATGTGTGACTCATAGCAGATGCCAAACCACCTCCATAAATGGGATGATGCACATGTGGACTGCTGTTGGATGCTTCACTTCCACTACTAACTGATAAGCTAGCAAATCTGGTACAATAAAACACACAGTACTGCATAATTTCATTTAATTCATGCTACTGAATATACTATACAGTAAGTACTAATGTTTGACACTGATATAAGACCTTTTCAAAATGTAATGCATTGTATTTTCTTTGTATGAGCTGGGACAGCTTGGCCAGTTAAGCGATTGGGCATGGGCTGCCAGAATCACTGATAAACCTTTCCTGGCACTATACTACACTTACAATACTTGTATAATCCAGGTATTCATTATAGGTCACGCCATTAGTAATGTCATGTTGTCAAAAAAAGACAAGAAAAGGTGTGGGGATGCAGTAGTGTTGTGTGAGTTTCTATCAACATATAAGCAGCAGAAAAAATAATGTTAAGTTGTGTTAATGAGTAACAAAAGACTGTGAAATGTGCCAATTTTTGGAATGAGATATGCAAGAGATAACCAGTACAAGAGTTTCTGATCTTTGACTACCAGAAGTCTGTATATCAGTGGTTCAATGAAGCTGCAAGTTATTTATCACTATTCATTTCATAATCACGAACAACAGTGACAGCTATTAGAGAATAATAAACTGTATAATAATGAAAGGNTACTAATTTAGAACAACTGCGATAAAGCGGTCTGTAATTATCTAGGAATATCACTGTAGTCAACTTCATACAAAATTTCATCTTGTATTATAGAATGATTTGTCTACACCGTCCAGTGTGACACAAATGTGTGTTGTGTATATATATATATATGTGTGTGTGAGAAATTTAAGAACGTGAACATACTATGGCATATTTGCTCAAAGCAGAACTGTGAAGGCAGATAAGCAGACATTCCTAGGTAATGGCTGTTTAACACATAACAATAAAGTAACTGCGGGAAGTGGTGTTTTCTGTGCGGTCCATGTAAAGGCCACATAACAAGGAGCAGCTGCCACTACAGGAATCTTGAGACAGCAATTAGAAGAGTAAGAGGTTTGTGTGAGATGGCTGCCAGCCTAAGTGTCAAGGAATTTCCCCTGTTGGAAGCTGCTACGAAGCAGCGCAGTGAAGACCATGACTGAGAACCCTAGTCTGTGTGTGATAGTGATTTGTAAAGGGTAGTCATAAGTTGTGTGTATAAGTGTCCGGTAAATTCAATTACCTATCCAAAACCCATTTATAGTCACTTTAACATAGTCCTATATAAAGCAAAAACATTTCACCACATGTCAATGCAAAAGCAGCAAGACAGCATACTTTCATCATCACTGCTGCTGTTGTCATCAAAGTTTTCCAAAGCTGCAGTCCTCTATCACGATTTTAACCTAATGCTGTTCTTTACCTTCCACCTCATTCAGCTTCATGCGACCAAAACTTTCCATATCAGACTTCACTGCTTGTTTACTTACTACAGTCTCTTTTGCAGCTACCAGAGAAGTGATCAGTATGAAAGTTAGGTCTAACATCAAGTATATCTGAATGCTACTTCCTATCTCTCAAGATGATCAATGTGATTATGTCTTTTAATCAGAAGTCCTAGTGAATTTATGGATGTGTAAATATTGTACTCTTGACAATCAGATTTCTGTAAATAACTAACTTAACTAATTAAGCACTATGCCATGGAGGCATATGGGATAGTGGATGTACGAAGGGGGACCCCCCCCCCAAAAAAAACGGAATCTGTTTATAAAAAATTCTGCATTTGTTTTTACATAACAAAATTTTAATCCCCTTCAAAGTACTCTCCATTAGATTCAATGCACTTGTCCAAACGTTTTTCCAATTGCTCAAAACATTTTTAAATTCATCGCTGGTGATTCCTTTTAGTGTTTCTGTCATTTTTTTCTTTACATTTTCAACCTCAGCAAAATGTATTCCTTTGAGGTGTCTTCATCCGAGGAAATAAAAGAAAGGTTGCACGGGGCAAGATCAGGTGAGTACAAGGGCTGAAGCAAGGGTGTCATGCCATTTTTGCCAAAATCGCTGCACACTCAGCGCTGTGTGGGCAGGCGCGTTATCATGATGAAAGAACCATTCACCTGTTTACCACAAATCGGGTCGTCTTCTCCTTAAACTGTTATGCGACCTTTTCAAAACTTTCAAATAATAATTCTGGTTGTCTGTTTGACCTTGGGGTATGAACTCTGAATGCACGAAGCCCCTGAAATCAAAGAAGCAAATGAGCATTGTTTTCACATTTGACTTCACTTGTGCTTTTTTGGGATGTGGAGAATTGGGACCTTTCCATTGGCTGGACTGCTCCTTTGTCTCAGGATCATAACAGTAGCACCAAGATTCATCTCCAGTTATGACCTTGGAAAACAAATCAGGATCGGTTTCCAAGTGCTCCTTCAAAGCACAGCATGCAGCAAGGCGATTGTCTCTCTAATCAGGGGTGAGCAGGTGAGGCATGAACTTAGCTGCAAATCGTTTCATGTGCAATTCTTCGGTTAAAATTTGCTGAAAGGAACTCCATGCAATCCCAGTAAGCTCCACAAGTTTGTCAATCATCCGCTGGCAATCTTCCACAATGATTTGACAAATTTTTGTCATGTTTTCGTCAGTTCGGGTGGTCAAAGGACGTCCACTTTGAGGTTGATCATCAGTTGACATTTCACCACGCTTGAAATGGGAGAACCATTTGTAAATTTGTGTTCTACTCATGGCAGCTTCCTTGCAGCTGTTTGTAGAATGACAACCATTTCTACTGTTGTTTTCCCCAAAAGGAAAGAAAACTTCACAGTAGCACACTGTTCACGTGAATCAGCCATTAAAAATAGACAAAAGTCCACAGGAAAGAAATTCACCAAACACTAAAGCAAACTTCTCTGACGATGCCAGCTGGCATACTGATTCAGGAAGGTTCTGCCAACAACCACCTAGTGGCAGAAGCCTGTACTACAAGTGCCCTGCCTTCTCGAAACAAATTCTGTTTTTTTTGGTTCCCCCCTTCATATAGATTCACATTTTCTTGACCTCAGCACTAGGTGGAGGTAAGTGGTCAGCTTCATGCCCCAGTTAGATTTGCATGTGGCAAAATTAACTACTATAACTGCATTATGATTAGCAATTTCATGTAAGCTCTCATTCCCAAATATTAGTTTGAAAATATTTTTTTCTGCCTAATTTGACATTTAAATCCCCTAACAAATTTTCATGTTCTACTTAATATACATTCACTGAATATACGCTCTGGTTCCTCACAGAATGTATCCTGTGTATTATTAGTTTCATCACCCTCTAAGGCATGCATATTCAGAATAATATCATACCAACAGCCCCTTAGTACCGTATTGCATTGTATCGTTAACAAATGTCACCCTTGTAACTGCTGACATGATTCCTTTATGCATCAAAAATCCTGTCCCCATTCCATAATCTCACCATTTCCATACAAAACTGTATAACTGTAACANAAAGCTTTGAAATGTGGTGTTGGAGAAGGATGGAGAAGATCAGTTGGACCGATTATGTGAGAAATGAAAAAGTGTTATTTAGAGTCAGTGAGCAGAGGAATATCCTACACAAAATACGAAAACGGAAGGCTAATTGGATTGGTCATATCTTACGCAGTAACTGCCTTCTAAAAGAAGTTATTGAAGGAAAGATAGAGGGGTGGATAGAAGTGACCAGAAGACGAGGAAGAAGAAGTAAGAAGATGCTGGATGACCTTGGGTACAGAAGAGGATATTTTCATTTGAAGGAGAAAGCTCTAGATCGCATCAAGTGGAGGAACTGTTTTTGGAAGAGACTGTGGGCCTGTCGTCTTTGACAGATTACTGAGGAATGAATGAACTGTAACACTAATTCTCCTACTACTGTTTCCAATAAACTTGCCCTATAGAGATCCCTTAGATTCAATGTGTCAAATCTTGTGTATATTTCCTATTGCTGAGGTCATTTCAAACAATCCATCCAAGCTCAAGGTCCTGTGTAACATTTTATTATGTGCCAATTTTCTACAGTAAGGAGGTGCTAGCCCCAAGTACAACCTACAAGCTGGGGGACCACCCCTCTTTGAGTTGTCTCAGACAGCTTCTATGCAGCTACTCTCCACATATGGGGACAATTTCTTCCATCCACAACCTCAGGATGCACCATGATGTGGTGACAAGGGACTGTCTTAACAAGACCAATTCTTCAGAAGAACTAATTAATACTGATAAGTCAGTGATTCACGATGACTTTCACCAGTTAGAAAATATGTATCAGAAATGTAACACAAACAAATATACATACAAGCATGCATGTACATACACATAACACAGTAACAGAAGTTTTGAAAGATTGGTAAGGCAAAAAGGGCATGGGAAAGTATGAAACAGTACTACCAAAATTTGAATTTTGTGGCATACTTGCTAAACGCAAGATCTGCGGAGCCAGAGAAACAGCCATTTCTAGCGATCAACCCTGAAACAACTTTCATTTCTAGGCAATGGTTCAGTAAACACATTCCTGCAGCAACAGATATGCCTGCAACAATACGGGTTCTGTTATAAATTATGTTTGCCACTCGTTCTGTGCAAATGGGTTACAAGGAAGACAAATGGGCAACTCAGTCAGTTCTTTATGGAAGCCTGAAGAAGAGTGTCAGTGACAGTTGAAGAGTCAGTTGAAAGTCAGGCTGTGAAGACAAGAGGTTATGTGTGTGGTGGGTACAATGATATTCGACATGTCTAACCCAGTGAGACTGTTGTAATTACTTGTAGTTCCAAGTCATGCATATAAGTGGTCAATAAATCCAATATCCAATCAAAAACCCCATCTATAGTCACTCCATAATACATGACAATATATCAGCATAACAAATGAAATGATGAATTACAAATGGTTATAGATTTAAATTACTAGAAAGAAAAGTGGTTATAGAACTGAATTCTCACTTCCAAAAATGAAGAAAATTAAGAAATAATTTACGATTATGGGTTTCTGGACTCTGCCCATCATCTAGCATTGTGAACCTGTTTCCATCCTCAGATGAAATGGTCAAGAGGCACAAGAGCAGAAAGGTCTGGTGACTTATTATCAGAGCTTTCTTACAGACATGACTGAGTAGATGACTACCCTGAGGGCAGAAACAGATCCAGATTCTGAAACCTTGTGTTCTGAATGGAATACTAGACAATGCACAAAGACTTCAAATGCAGTAGTCCTACAAGTTTGAACCCCTTAGAAAAAGAAAACTGTATGCTGATCTGACTGGTATTCAAATCATAAGCCTCCTACATAACAGGTGATTTGGTGTAACAATAAACACTACATCAAACTGGTTGATGCCTACTTAACTCTTTGACTGGCGCGGGCGTGTTTTAACGCCCAGACGATGCCAGCCGTTCCCTGGCGTTGGCGTGTTTTAACGCTTTGACAATCTCTTCCCTTCTTTGCTCTCTTGGCGCTCATC